ATGTTGGTCGAAAGTCAGAGACAGTCAGAAAACAAGTTATTAGAACGAACTGCCTTGTTTTTAAACCTAGCAGACGGTAAATAACTTCAACTGGCATTTGCGTTTGTCTCATTTCACCATAACATTTCTCGGTCTGTACTAAACGTTCCTAAACATTCCTGCAGCCTCTCTGGACTTTTAATAACCCTCTGACATCACTGAAACACCCCCCTGTTGGTTGTTTCAACCAATCAGGAAGTACTACGTGACCGGAAGTGAGGACTCTTTAAAAGTCAACACTTCCTGGAACTAGTCAGTCTTTGACCGGAGTCTTCTTGGGCCTTTCATGGAGTCTTCCACTTCTGAGTGGAATCTCTGACTATGGATGGAGTCACAGCGCCTCGCTGTGAACTCACCCGTGTGTAACGCCCTACAACTTCGAAGGAAGCTTGTCTGTTGGACAGAGTAAATCGTCACGACTTCTGACGATGCCAGCCACCCTGACCGGAGACGCTGGAAAGGTAGCCTTGAAATGGACCCGGTACCGGACGGAGTTGATTTATCTTCTGCAAAGGTAACGAGTCGTCATGCACCGAGTGTACCGGGGGTTTGAGCTGGTGTTGAAAGAAGCGTGCTAATTCTGGTCAACAAACATACATCTTTCCTTCATCCATCTACTTTTAAACTTTTCCATTCCTTCCTTTAAACTTCTATTTTGCCAGTAATCTAGATGCCTCCAGAAATGTTCTGTTGTCTTGTTAGTAATGCGTGCCAAGTTTTTATTAATCAGAACCAGATCAGCAAATCAATGTGTACATGTTTTGATGTTAAATTTTGATTCTGTTAAATAAATGACCGCATTTATTCTGATGGGTCAAAGAAAAATGGCGTCTCCTGTCACTGATTAAACAATCCTCACAGTTATCTCTTCACATGGCATTAATTTAACTTGAAAAATAAAGAATCCGTTGTATTTATACAATTAATATTCTTCGTGCTTGAACTAGCGTTAAGAACAATTAATTAGTAGTGAAGCGACAGTTAAGCTGTCCCCCACATTCACTACAATGGTTTGGACATTCTGACATGCACTCAGACAGAAAACACAGAAATAAACCTGTGTTACACTGCTACTGAAAAGAAAACTCCACATATTTGTATTCATACTATAAAATCTATTAAATGACATTTAACTTTTTTGTTTTCTTTATACTTCTTCTTAAAGCCTTCAGTAAATACCTTGAAGGCCCTGATTGCTGCAACTCAGAGTTAAGCAAATATTTTAAACTGGATTGTTAGACTCTTTTCCAACAGTCCGTCACAGTAATGTTATTTACTGTATTTTCTGACCTATAAGTCGTGGTCTTTTGCATAATTTGCATGCCCTGCGACTTATACACCAAAGTGACTTATTTATGTTTTTCCCCATATTTATAAATCAAATTTTGACTGAGATATGACCGTTTTCATTCATTCTGACTGAAAATATTGAACACTACCATTTTCAGCAGCTAAATGGCACTCGAGTAGTATGGCATGCAGTTGTGTCAGCTTCATTTTGCTGCGCCGCTCCAGCAAAATGCAGCAAATTTGACCATTGAAGTGCATTTATTAAGTAAAAGTTCAACAGAGATACAGCTTTACTATAAAGTCCAGCAAACAAATAATTGTTTTTAAGTGTTAATCTTGTTAAATTCTTGTTGAAGTCCTCCTGTGCAAGCTCCCATGGCCATTTGCCAGCCAATCAATTTTTGGCACAACACCGGCCCACATTTCCAGGTGTCAGCGGTGACGCATAATAGATGCAACTTATATGACGAAGCAACATATTTATGCTTTTTCCCACTTTATTAGACATATTTGCACTGATGCGACTTATAAGGCGGTGAAACGTTTATGGCAGAAAGTACTGTAGTTGAATTTATAAAAATACCAAAGATGAACAGAAAATAGGATTTTAGCTCAAACAGGATGATTCAAAGAGCTTCTAGCTGAAAACGCAATTAGTCGTTGGGACAGGCAGATTTTCATAACCAATTTTGGAACCAATTCTCATGTTTTTTTGATAGAGGTTTATCTGGGAATGTTAACAATACCAGGTGGATTTGTAGCAAAAGTTGCTCGATGTGAAAATTTTAACCATGCATGTACAGCCATTGAAAAAGTTGAAATTTCACCAGTATGATTAAATACCATCAGAGTTACACTGGATGACCATTTGTAAAGTTCCATATGGACTCCCTTACATTACGTGTGATAATGTTGAATTATAAGCTTAATAGCAAGTACTATGGATATAACCATGAAGAAAACGTTGGTTACGTACTGTAACCCCAGATTCTATGAGTATAGGCGTAGCCCTTTAAGAGCTGTCGCTTAGTGGGTTTATCCCGTCATGCAAAGCATCGCACTGAAAAAATTTTGTCCACGCCCACCTGTTGTGTGGGCCCCACCCGGTCCATATAAATTACATTAAGAGCGGGTAATTGGCTCCCAAATAGCATTTTCTTCAGCCATTTAGGAGCCAGTGAGGTCCGATGCTTAAAGGGCTACGCCTATACTCATAGAATCTGGGGTTACAGTACGTAACCAACGTTCTATTTCATAAAGGCTTCGTCCTTTAAGGCTGTCGCTGGTGGGTTAAGGGCGAAGCAGATGTAGTCTCCGCCTCACTGGGTCCATTCGAACAACATAAAAAGCGCCCACTTGCCCAAAAACAACATCTTATTACTCAGCTCTCCATGTGCGTAAATACTCGTTGCATAATTACGCGCACCATGCACAGACGCGCACTGCGTAATTTACGCGTTCCGAGTGCATGAATGCCCCGGAAAGGTTTTCAACAGAAAAAGAGGAGAGGCTGAAAAAGGCCGTGAACAGAGCAGATCCACGGCTCTTCAATATGAACAGATTAATAATAAATGAACTGATTGATGACAGTAGTCATTAACTGATTAATAACCATAGTTAACTTAAAAGTGCCCTGATTACCTTTCAGTTATAATGATACACAAATAGATATTGGGCTTACATAACATGGCTATCAATGCCGTGTTTCTTCTTCAGGTGAACGGCCAAATTTGTTTTTTCCCGAGTATTTTAACTCACACTGGCACTTGTTGCATACGGCATGAGTTCTGTCTGTTGAGCCGTCCTTCTGTTTGAATCCAAAATATTTCCACAGTGTTGATTTAAATCCAGCAGGAGAGTGAATTTCATTGTTTTCTGCCTCGTCTGCTATGCTGCTGAGGCAGCCGCAGAGCGCAGCTGCGCACGGAAATGACACAAACATGCACTGGGAATTTCAAAATAAAAGCATATTTTAAAGACGATAATATGAATTGATGTTTTAGTTTTGCCACAGTATAATTGAATCATTAATCATTTAATCGATATATCGATTTAAATCAGTGTATTGTTACACCCCTGTTGGCTAGCTGTATTTGCTGGCTCTTTAGGTAAGTTACGTCAGCTCTTTTTTAAAACTGAAGGTTTCTAAGAAATTGCGTTATGTCTGCTGTCAAACACAAGAAGATTCTCTTTTGTTCTTGGGTTGTAGGCTGCACCTGACACAGGTTGGCTTGAGTGTGGTCTGGGTAAAATGAAATATGAAGCATCTGAAGCGAAACCTGCTCCCATTTGTCAAAAAGTCTGGTCTTAATTAAAGATCATGAGTCCCCTTAACGAGATAATGGCTCAAAACAAAAGTTGCTCTTTAGAAGTGCTCTTCTATGAGATCTGATCTATGAAAGGAGCTGAAACATGGAGTAGGATTGACCCTTAAAATGTGAGACAGCTGAGGAAGTGAACCAGTAAACAGAAAAACCTGCTTCAGTTGCTGAAATCTTATAGAAACTGACAATCACTCATGTGCAGTGACTGCTTTAAAAGGTTGAACTAGAAAATGTGAAGTTAAAGGAAACATCATTTGTCCCAAAGCCATTTTAAGTATCATTATTATTTTGGTTACTTTATTTTTCTAGACTCCTCCTTGAATTGCCACCTTATCGTGGTGGAGGAGTTTGTGCGCCTGAATGATCCTAGGAGCTATGTTGTCTGGGGCAATTATAATTTATCCCTGGTAGGGTCTCCCAAGGCAGATTGGTCCTAGATGACAGACCAGACAAAGAGCGGTTCAGAAGATATTTATGAACAAAAGAACCCCCAAGTAATTCGGTGTCCCTTTCCCGGACGTGGGTTACTGGGGCCCCATCCTGGAGCCAGGCCTTGGGGAGGGGCTCGTCAGAGAGTGCCTGGTGACCGGGTCTCTACCCATGGGGCCCGGTCGGGCTCAGCACGAAAGAGCAGCATGCATTTGCCTTCCTGCGGACCCACCACCTGCAGGAAGGGCCATAAAAGTCGGGTTCATGGTGCTAGGGGCAGTGGCCGAAGGCGGGGACCTTGGCACTCTGACCCTGGCTTACCAAAGCTAGCTCTTGGGACATCTCTGGAAATTTTTTGACTTTGTGGATAAGGTGAGGGATGTCATCATGGAGACTGATGAAACAATGGTCTCTTTTGATGTCACATCACTCTTTACGTGCATTCCTGTTGATGATGCAGTAGAGGTGGTCAGTTTAAAATTAAAATCAGACACCACTCTGAGCAGCAGGACCACACTTTCCACAGAACAACTGTGTCAACTCTTGAAACTGTGCCTGCAGTCAACCTACTTCACATATGAGGAGCAATATTATAGGCAGAAACTCATTGTCTAAACATAAATATATATATATATATATATATATATATTAGCTGAAGGATGATGCCTCTCACAGCTCCTGTCAGGTTCTTCTTGTTTTTAAAATTTTAAAAGGCATGACTTTAGATAATGTTCATCTTTTTCTGCCTATGATAAGAGAACCTGTGTGTTTCAACAAATTGTAGGAAGTGGCTTGATTTGAAATTTATGAACTATAATTTCAAGCAGTTTTTGAAGACAGTTTAATCACCAGTAGAGTGAATTTAGGTGTGGACTGATCTAATTTGATCCCTGCTTGTTTCTTTTTATCATCTAATAGTGACCTCGACCCTCTACAAGCTCCTCACTGGTCCGTTCGTGTTAGAGCAGCTGAAAACCCTCAGTGTTTACTCGGTAGGTTTTTCATTTTTTATTTATATCGGTTGTTTACCATCCAACTCCACTGGATGTAATATTTGTCAGTATATTCCTTACTGCTCTAAAATTAAAAAAGGATATTGCAATCCTAATTTTGCCCACAAAAACATGTATTTCTGTGTTTTTAAAAGAAAATGTTATTGTTTCAAGCAAACTTTCAAACATTGAAAGGCGTGGCATTTTCTGTCAGGTGGTCTGCATTTGTTTAAAGTTGCTTAATCTTCCCAAATGTTTTGTTTATTGGACTTCTTTATATTGTCTTATCCATGTAGGGGACTTTGTGACAGAGTTCTTTAAGCTTTGCTGCAGGAAGGAGTCTGTGGAAGAGGTTTTAGGACGAGGATGTGCTGAAGAAGAAGGCCAAGGTAAGTTTACCTGCTTTAGCTGTAATACTTTATTAAGTTTGTGGTTTCTTAGGAGGAAATTTTATAATAACAATATAATTTCTGTATAGTGGTAGAATAAAGAAATACAGGTGCCACTTTATTACAAGGGTCCCTTTATCATACCTGAACGTTTGCCGCTTTTCGATAAAAATCACCGATTTCAAAACAAAATGTCATTTACGTGAATCATCTGGATCCGAAGAGTTTTTTTGGGGGGAGGAGGGTGTTAAGCGTGAGAGAAGCGGAGCGCTACATAACCAGCATCTCAGCTAGCACGTCTGTATTGTGCGCCACTAGTTTAGCACTATGTCAACATTTGAACAATGTATCTGTCTGCTACATACACCAAGATTTTGTCCCAAGATATGAAAAGTCCTTCTGATGGTCTTATAGAGGATACCTTGAAAGTGAACTATCATGTTAGGGAGAAAGAAGCCAAGTAACAATGTCCAGAGGACCAGATTTAACTTTTTTGGATTTTTCTACCTGGATTATTGAGCACGCATCAGGACCAAGCAACACAAGGTTTCTGGAAAGTAAAAGTGGTAAAATCAGTGATGAGGAAGGGACAGTGGAAATGAAAACAATGGGAGAAGAGAGGTGGATGTTATTCCAAGTGGATTGTGATGGAAAGGAGAATAAAAGTTATGAAGTGTAAAAACTGTGGTGGTGCCAAGGTAGGAAAAAACCTGTAAATTATTATTTTTTAATAATTACATGCCTGTTGACGAAACTGAATAAAAGGTGTTTTTTTTTTTGTGTCACTGTTGCTGGCACAGTATAATTTCGTGTTGTAAATGGTAACTGGACTACACGTATACAGCTCCTTTCTATCTTATCCAGATACTCAAAGCTCTTTACAACAATCTGTGCCTCATTGACCCATTCATACAGCTCTCTACTACTATTCTCTACAAATAATAATCAGAGCTTTATCACATTCATACACTGATGGAACACATTAGAGGCAATGAGGTGTTCAGTGTCTTGCCCAGGGACACTTTGGCATGTAACTGATGGTGGAATCAAACCCCCAACTCTTGCATTGGAGGACGACTGCTCTAACCACTCAGCCACAGCTGCCCAAGTACAGTGTGCATGATGCCAGGTCAATTTTTGTTATGAGTAGGCCTATCATAGTATAAGATAGTATTTCTTGTTTGTTTGTTCTTTGATTTTTTAGCAAGTCCAATCGGTTCTTCTCATCCTAAGCATTTCATTGTACTGTTAACCCTGTGTTAACCTTGCATATGACAAATAAACACAACTTGAACTTGAACTTGATCAGTCAATCAGAAAACGGTAAAAAGCTCCCTTAAATTCACTGTTTATGGTTATCTAAATTGCACCTGCTCATTGGGTAAAGAACCAAAATTGCATAAAGTTCTTGTTTTTAAACGTGCTATTGCTTAGCACAATGACATGTTGTGTTACAAATAAAACTAAACCAAAAATTAACTAAATAAAAGTCAAGTGCTCCCCTAAAGTCAATGTTTGTGATAATTGTGTCACATTAATTTCATTATCTTAGCCATAGCAGTGAATTTAAAAACAGGATGATGCATAAATGGACTAGTTGAAAGAGGAACGTGTCTCTGAAATAGTTGTTGAATCAAGTGTTCACACATTCAAGGATTCAAGGTTCTTTATTGTCATTCACATCACATGTGGTAGATGAGGTGGAACAAAATTGTGTACTCAGGGTCCCAATTACATCCAACAACAACAAAAATATAAATTATAAAAAGAAACGGTAAAGGATCTAAAATATACACTAAACGAATGTCAAATGATACGCTAAAAGATCTAAGACATATGCCAGTCACTAATAGTGCAAAACAATACACCGAACGACAGCAGCACGGTTCTCATAGGTTCGGCTATAATTTACATGCTTAATGCAAGCGGAGTCGGGCTTGGATTCAGAATCAGAATAATCTTTATTATCATTGCACCGAGATACAACGAGAACATGTACGTACAGCCGTCCAAAAGATGGACAGAGTGCACGTAGCTGCTGGTATAAAGCACGGCCTTCTTTTCCTTTTCAGAATACATTTTTAGATAGAAAAAGGGTCAAAGCCATGAGGAGAGGATAATGGCATTACAAAAAAGATCTCTTCACACCTTGTCCTAACATGACACAATTTAAGACATCAAAAGACTCTGCCAGCAGCACATTTATGAACACGTTACATATGCATTTACAAAGAGGTGGTCCATGAAGCACTAACAGATAGTCCATTGTCCTGATAAGATGATGGTCAGCTGGCACACTTCTGATAAGCCTCCACAGAAGGGGGGGGGGGTGCGATAGACAAAGCTTTTCCTTAGTTTACACATTTCCCAGGAGAAATTGATAAGTCTGTCTGTTTCGAGGCCAGCCGGGGAGTCAGATTCAGATAATCCACAGTTGTTGATTTATTGAGGCAGACTTTTTTTTTGTCAACCTTGAGTCTTTACTGGTACTTCCAAGGTCAGATATGGCCAGATTAAGGTGCATTCTACTGGTCCGTGCTTAAGAGCCTCTTCAAGGTCGTTTTCATGCTGATGAGTCTCAAAGCTGCAGGTGGCCTATGATTCAAATCACTTCCATCTTATGGTTTAGCTCGTAAATCAGCTGATTTTGAGTCCTCAAAGCACGAGCCAAACCTTCACATAGGCAGCAGCCTGACCAGGCCAGATTAGCTGCGGCCGTCTTCTTTGTATACTGATAAACCAGGATCCAGACTATTCCAAAAACAGGAAATCTGTTATCATAAATCCAATTATATGCAATTTCGGCGTCCTCGATCGACAGCAGAGGTAGGACACATCGCATTCCACTCCCCAGAGATATGTCCAGCTGCATGCGTGTTGTCCGAGAAGATGAGGGTTCTCCAGGTCCCTGTTGTTTTGTTGAGAAAATTTTGTCATTTGCATCAAAAGTCCAGTTGGTCAGATCCAAAACAGTAGTTTTCATTTCGTAAGATGTGTAAAAATAGGAGCTGCTCCGATACACAGAGAGCAAAAAAGCATGAGGAGAACAGGCAGAGGGAAGAGAATGCGCCTCGTTACAGAGCGGGGGGGGGGGGGGGGGGGGGTACAAAAAACTAACATAAACTGGGATTTATTCAAAGCATGCAACAAAAATTTTCATTCAACCTTTATTTAGACAGGTAATCCTATTGAGCCTCCAGGACTCATTACATTAAAAATACAGAAACAATGCGCCAAAAGTGAAAAATAAATAAATCTACAGCAGCATGGTCCTATTGGCAGAATGGTTCTGATGACAGTGAGGTTATTTTAGCAACATGGTCCCCTTGGCACCATGGTACCGTTAGCAGCGTGGTTCGGTTAGCGGCGTGGTCTTGTTAGTAGTGTTAGCAGGTCTAGTTAGCACTGCAGGTCTCATCAGCAGCTCGATGGTAACAAAGACCGCAGCAGCTGCCCTCCCAGACAGCCCTCCAGAACTGGTCCGGCAGGCGGAGAACATCCAAGGTTTCCCTACGTAACCGAACGGGTCTGTAGAGTTCAGTCCATGCAGGCAGATGGAGGATCGTGGAGACAGCTGCCATGACAGGCCTGAGCCCGAGGCTGGAAGGACTGAACCACGATGTCAAGGCAGTGACACAGAATACGCCACAACTGTGTCGCGGTCATACCTGTACAGTGGACGTGCAGTGTAGGCACAAAAAAGTTAAAAACAACAGGAACAAAAAAAGATGGCGTTCACCGGGAGCCTGTGAAGCTGCGTCTTGGCTGAGCGCGGCTTCTTGGTAGGTAACGTAGGTAAAACTACTGTAGATGTTTAACAACCTGTTAAAATACACCAGAATGCAGAAAATAGCATCTATCTTATTCATACATTTTCTGGAGAGGACCCCCCCCCCCCATTACAAATGCTTCTTATGCCAATGGGCATGAAAGAGGCACATGGCCAAGCTGTGGAAACGGGCCTTAAAAGTCTGGTCCAGGCCAGAACACTTAAGAAACGAGTTGTTGCTGTTAGCTAAATGTTCTGCTGTATTTGTCCTGCTGCTGCTGCCGTTTGTTCATTTTTTATTTTTTGGTTGACACCATCGTTCATATGTATGTCCTTATTAAATTAGGATATGTTAGTAAATGTCTTTTTTACCTGAAGCATGTTGTCTTTAATTTTCTTCTTGGGGTGTACCAGAATGATTAATTTACATGTTAAAAATCACAAAATCTTCTGGGGGGCACAGACCCCCCCCCCCCCCAACACACACACAGGCTTACATTTGTCACCTTTTTCACCCCCTGTGAGTTTACAGATATGCTTTATAAATAATTTGAGATTGCATCATAAATTGGTTATACCTGATTTTGTAAACGCTTTATAAAAGAATAATAAACATTTATAAAACATGTATTAAGACCCGTCAATCACTGAAGTACTTTTATTATTTCAGGTAAAAGAACATTTTTGTTAGATGCTCCATTTAAGAATTTTTTTACTAAGTTCAATTTCTTAATAAGAATTTTATTTTTTGTCTTTTGCTGCCTGTTAAGTGTTGATTTTTATGTTTTGTTATTTTTGTTTTTTATCTTTAGTGTTGTTCAATATACTGTACATGTGTTTTATTGTACTATACAGCACTTTGTTCTGTTGAGGAGTTTTAAAGAACTTTATAAAGTTGACTTGAGTATTGAATAGTTAATAATGCAGTTAATAATTAGCTATAAATTTATAAAAACAACAGCTGTAAACTATCAAACAGTTACAGCGCATTAGATAAAAAGTACAGTATTGGATTGTTTCTTGCCAAATAGTGAGACATTGTAGTCTTTATTCTTTTTTATCTTATTTTTTACTTGTAATGTTCACACTTTGGATTTAAAATATCAAACATTTGTCAATAAGTTACTGCCATGTAAACACTGAGGTTTTGTAGATGCAAACTTAGTTTTGACAAATACAAATATTTATTTCTGTGCAAGTAACAAAACAAATACATTTACCAGAATGGATTTGTTTCTTTTTTTTTGCCTAGTAGTGAGCCTGCGTTAATGTATGAAGTTTTGTAACTTTAATAAACGCTTTATAAAATGTTTGTCAACCCATGAGTTGTGCAGTTTATAAAGCATTAATAAATCTTTGATAAAGATAGCTCTGGATTGTAAAGTTGTACCAACATGCTTTTTGCAGATTGGTCGGTGCTTCTTGTTGATGTTTTGTTCTGTTGTGTTTGTTTCCCTGCAGAAAATAGTGACATCACCTCAGCTTTATCCAAACTCACGGAGCCAGCAGCTACCGTGCCTTTAACCAAACTGTCTGTCTCCAGTATGGTGCACAGCGCCAGGAAACGCATCCACCGCCGGAGGCACATCGATGAGTCACCACTTAACATCGATATCCTCAACTCAATCCTCTTGGTATGTTTGTTAAATAAATACTAGAGCCCCACCCATATATCGGTTGGCCGATGTATTAGGTTGATATAAGCGTTTGGGGACTTATCGATATTGGAGATAACTTACCCTTTATTATGCATCGATATACAGTAGCTCCTCGCTACTTCGCGGTTTTTCAAAGTAAGATTGGACATGACACACAATTGGTTGATTGATGGATGAGCTGCACGAGCGGCATGGATTGTTTATTTAAATTAATGATTTAGCACCTGCTGCACCTGTGTGCAGCCCACAGGTGCAGGGAGAAGCTGGAACCTAATACCTGCGATAAACGTAAACACTTCTTATTTTCACCCCTAGTGTGCTGTGAACAAGCCGTGTCCTTACTTGCATATAGCATAATGGTACAATGTATCCAGCAGAGGGCGCATGAAGACTACTTTAAATTCAAGGCTGTTCACAAATTTTCACTTTCAGCACAGATGAAGCAGCAAGCAATACTGTGTAGCTTATTTTACTGAACAGAGCATGGTAAAAAAAAATCAACAATAAATTCTCTTCAATTCTCCAACCTGCTTGTCATTAGCTACGTTCCTCTCAAGTTAGCAAGCTAACGTTTAGATAACCTAGCATTGGCTATTGCCTTGTAAAACTTTATCCAGGACAATAACTCTAACATAGAGAAAAATGTATATCAGTGTTAATAATGTTATCTTTGTTGTCCTCAATGAAATTCATTGATTGTCTGAATCTTGAATTTTCTGTAAAGAAAAAAAATGCTGCTGCAGTCAGTACTAATGAAGTCTTCATACGTGACTGACTGTTTAAACCAGGGGTGTCAAACTCACTTACAAAAAGGGGCCAAAATCAAAACCTTTTTCAAACTAAGGGCCAATTTCAGAATCTACATTACCTCAAATCAGATACCCAACCTGTTTTCTTGGTCACAGGTTCCTCAACAAGAGTTTGACTGGTCTCATTTTTTGATGTTCTCAGTTGTGCTTTCAAAATCATAATCAAAGATTACTGAAAAATTTCAAGAGATCAAAGTATATTACGTTTCACATATCACCTTGGGGGACCAGATAAGATGTCAACGAGGGCCACATTTGGCCCCCGAGCCTTGAGTTTGACACATGGATTAAACAATGAACCGGGATTCATTCATTCAACCTTTATTTAGACAGGTAGATCCCATTGAGCCTTGAGGACTCATTTACAAGAGAGACCTGATTTCAACAAAGAAAGATGACAACAATGGACAACAACAATAAACAGTTATAAAAAGCCATACATTTTTTTTTTTTTTTTTTTTTTAACAAATAGGATGGCTAAAAACAAGAAAAGTAACAAAAAACAGCTGGATTCTAAGGTGAATGTAGAAAACTAAAAACAGGAACATGTCAGCATTGGTGTAGTGAACCTAACCTGATGTCAAACTAAGCCTAAGGTCAAAACACTTGACCTTAAGAACCTTGTGGGACAGAAACTGTTATTTCATTGATCTGCATCCAGAAATACAGTTTGACCCATCCGGAGACTTTCTTTCTTGAATTAATCAAGTAGAAAAGACAATTCTCTATGATCATTACTATTTTACAAATGTTTTGATAATCAAATTGTGTTAGTTCAAACAATGTTTACAGGTTGAAGAGAACTACTCATTTTTATTTACATAAACAGTAAGTAATGATTTTTATTCCTCATTCAAAGAAGAAATCAGGGTAATATGCATTTCTTGATTTTTCTGTCTTCAATGAGCAAGTTTGTAAATGTGTGTTAAAGTTCAGGTTTCGGTCAACTAAAAGTTTACTGGAAAGAAATGTCATGTTTAACTTTTACAAGAAGATACAGGAGAGTTTGACTCAACGAAGTCTGGTTTTCTCCAATAATCTTTCTGTCTGTTTTAAACAAACTTAATCTCTGTCCTTGACTTTGATAACACCTTACATCACAAACCACACCTCTTTTCTGGTCCATCCACCAATTAGAAAGGCTCTCAAATGAACCGGAAGTCGACCCATTTAAATGTGGCAACTTCCCAGTTCAAGCTAAGCTAAGCAAAGCTAAGCTGGTGCGCTCTCGGATGCAGCTCATGGAGTTTTTGAGAGCTTGAAAGTTTTCCTGGAGAAGAGTTCCAGACTTTAACTCTCTGAAGAGAGTTAAAGAGTTCAGAGCTCTTGGATGCTAACACAAGGCGTCCAGGATGCTTCTATTGGAATCCAGAATCCAGAGACGATTTTGGGAATTATAACTTCTGTTTGGATAACCTCGCACGACTCTCGAAGTATTTTAGCTGTTCTCAACGGAGACGCTGAAAGAGTCAAAAGAAGGACTTCGACCTGACATATCATCAACCAGGTAAAAAGTTCTACTTCGACCAAGCGTACCGTGACCAAGCTGAGATCTGAAGGAGCGTGCACGTTTCTGGTCAAACAGATAAATTCCCTCACACATCTCTCTGTAAGATAAATCTCCATTTTCCATCTTAAACTCTCCTTTCTCCTAAAATCATTACAGATATTTTAGAAATGTCTGAAGTAAAGTTCTCAATCACCGCCGTGTGATTGATGTCTGCTGTTCTGCTGAGAAGTGAGGACAATCGCCGTATTGTTCCCACTTTCTGTGAAACTAGCCATGTTATTGTTTTCATTTTTGCCAAATTAATGTAAATGTTTGATGTTAAACTTTGATTCTGCAAATAAATGACTGCATTCATTTTGATGGGTCAAAGATAAATAACGTCTCTCGTTACATTTCTGTTAAACTCAATGCACGACATGTACACAGTCAGAAAAATGAAGAACTCGTCTTAAACAGTATGAATATATCTGAGCATATGTCATACTACATTGGACACTGCCAGGAGTCCAACAGATTCTTAAAGACACTTAGAGAGGTCAAGGTCGAGAGCTTCAGATCTTTTTGTAAGATGTTCCAGGAAACAGGAGCGGAGTAGGAGAAGGCCCTTTTGCCTAATTCAGTCCTCACTGAGGGAACACTGCAGGTAAAAATGTCCTGAGAGCGCACGCCGTAGCTGCACTCACGCAGAGACATGTAGGAGGAGACGTATGAAGGCAGCAGACCAAGAAGTGATTTAAAGATGAAAATGTACCAGTGGCAGTATCTGCGTGAAGTTAATGATGTCCAGTGAATAACTGGGTGCAGTGGTGGGTATGATAATCATAGCCAGTTCTGAATCTTAGTGCACCATGATAGACAGCATCCAACATCTGCAGCATCCAACATCTGCAGGGTTCTTGTAGGAGCGTTCATGTAAATAATGTCACCGTAATCAATGGAGGAAAGGAAAGTCACAGATACAAGGCGTTTTCTAGCATTCAGGGTTAGACAGGATCTGTTTCTGAAAAAGAAACCCAGTTTAACTTTCAGTTTCTTTACCAAGTTTTCCACATGGAGCTTAAAAGAGAGATGTGAGTTGGCCAAGATACCCAAATATTTATAGGAATCAACAAACTCAATGGGGACACCATTTGAGGATGAGATCGGAGGAAGAACTGCTGGGACCAACTTCCTATTTGAAAAAAGCATCCCTTTGGTTTTGTCGGCATTTAGGACAAGTTTGAGGTGGAACAAATCAGTCTGGATGATGTTGAATGCAGATTTCAAAAGCTGGAAAGCCTTAGCAACAGTTTTAGCTCGACAATAAACAACTGTGTCATCAGCATAGAAATGTATGGATGCATTAGGGATGTTTTTACCAACATTACATATGTAGATTGTAAAGAGGGTGGGTCCTAAGACTGAGCCTTGTGGTACACCATTATTGACTGTTAAATAACTGGAGGAAGTACCATTATGTTGAACACATTGCCTCTGGTCTGAGAGATAGTTAGAGAACCAACCAATGGTGTGATCTGAGAAACCGATTTCTGAGAGTTTATGACACAAGATGTTCTGATCCACAGTGTCAAAAGCTTTAGACAGGTCTAAGAAAAGTGCAGCACAATAATCCTTAGCATCCAGTGCTTCAACAACATCATTAAGAACCTTCAGTGAAGCAGTGGTTGTGCTATGTTGTTTCCTGAAACCAGATTGATGTGGAGGTAAGATGTTAAATGAGTCCAGGTAATTTTTGATTTGAGAGTTTATCAGTTTTTCTAGAACCTTGGCTAAAATGCAGAGTTTAGAGATTGGTCCATAGTTGTTCAGTGAGGTGGGGTCTCCTCCCTTCAGCAAAGGAAGAACAAAGGCTGTTTTCCAAGTGTCTGGGATGGAGTTTTGTCTTATGGAGAGATTGAAGATGTGGGTCACAGGGACTGTGATGATATGAGCAGCCAGCCTTAAGAAATAAGGTGGAAGTTCATCTGGACCTGCAGATTTTTTAGGATCAAGATCTTTTAACAGTTTATTGACCTCACTGACTGAGAATGGAGAAAAAGAGAAGGTGTGATTAACTGAGGATTGACTTGTAGGAGGGATTTGATTTGTAGAAGTTTGGTTATTAAGTGAAGTGGCTGATTTTCCATTAGTAACTGTGTCAAATAAAGAACCAGAAGCAACAAAATGTTTGTTGAAACAGTTCAGGATCTCGTGCTTATTTGACACAGGAACAGAGTTAACGAGAAGTTGTGATGGGAGGTCAGATGATTGGGGGGTGCCTGAGAGAGATTTAATGGTTTTCCAGAATCTGTTGGGGTCATTTAGATTTTTGGAGGTCTGAGATAAGAAATAGTTGTTTTGCTGCTTTGACATCAGTTGTGCATTTATTCCTCATCTGTTGAAAACTCAACCAATCAGTGTCTGAGTCAGATTTTCTCGCTGCGGCCCAAAGATGATCTCTCCTGTGCAGGAGGTCAGCTAGCTCTGGAGTAAACCAGGCGCTGTCTCGTCCCTTTATTCTGAACTGACGAAATGGAGCATGTTTGTTCACAAAATAAATTAAACTTTTATGAAAATAGTTCCAAGCGGAGTTCACGTCATCAGTTAATAGAATACTATGCCAGTCAAAGTGAGACAGATCCCAGAGGAATGACTGTTCACAAAAACGTTTCAGATCCCGTTTTTGATTAATCTGGGCTTAGAAGGTAGAAGTTTAATATCTCTCAGAGTCACTGTCACACAATGATCACTCAAGATGTTGGTGAATACACCTGTACCAGGGAATTTGTGAGGCAGATTTGTTAGAAACAGGTCTAAGATGGAGGACTTTTCAGGACAGTTTTTGTTTGGTCTAGCTGGGGAGTCGATCAATTGGGTTAGATTGGGAGACAGGCAACATTCCTTGAATTTATAACAGGGAATGGCATTTTTTTGTTTAATTTATATTTTCTTAACACACGTGATATTTTTATGGTGAATAGTGGAGGATAGAAAATGTGAGTGCACGTTAGGATGACTGTTTCAAGATGTCAAGTGCTGAAACAGGTTTAAAAGTAGCTGTTTAATTAGATTCTTGGAGGTGGACAAAGGTAAAACATTTTTAGCCAATTTATCGGTTGTCAGCGGTCGCCTGCCCCTCCCAATATCGGTATTGTGATAGCTAAAATTTACATATTGGTCAGGCTCTAAGAAAACTGTTTTAGTTTTGGAAAGTGTGCGTGATAACAAACTGTCGGGGAAGAGGTGGGTAAATTAATCCTTTGCTTATGACATCACATCTGGTTATGCCCTTCCAACTCTGATGATCCCAGTACAGTTAGAAAAATCCTCCAGAACATCAGACGATCTTCGGGGGGTTTCAGAGGAATAAGGAGAAAATGGCGGGCTTTCCGTGATTGGCCCACAATGATTGAGCGCGCACAGAACTTCTCTGGCAAGGTTCTGGTGGTGGATGGTTGTTCTGGCAGCTTATTGAAGACCTGGGTGGAACATGGGAGAGTGTATCTGATGTGTAGCCTGTGCTCAGTGAGCGTGGCTTGGTCGTTGAGCGTTTAAAGCAAGACTCGCAGGCTCCGGCCACATGTTGAGGGTACAATCGTGTTACACCTACATCCTTGGCTGTGCCTCAGTACATTATTATATTACAAAATTTTCTTGATGCTCCTATAAATTCTGCGTCATTCTCAGCCATCTTTCATTCAGCCGTGTGGAAACAAAGCAAAAAGAAGTTCTTATGCTGAGGCCTGCTAGATGAGGAGGAATGAAGGGTGACAACAAAGTTCATGCTCAATCATCCAGGAATCACATCCAATAATAATGAACCACTTTGTCTGTGGCTGTCTGCCTGGGAGGAGTCGACGAAGGACAGGACGGCCCCCAGAAACCATCTTAGCTCTAGCAAACTAGTTGGTCCACTTAAGGAGTTTACTGCTTGGTGGGGAAACAGTTTACTGGAACTCCTCTGACTGATGAAGTCCTTCGGATAGAGGGTGAAACGTCTCTATTAAAAAAGAAACCGTCCAGATGACCCGACTGAGAATTATTGGGTGACTGGTTGAGGTTCACAGAAAACCTGTTCAGTGTTTCCCCTGGATAACTTGCCATGGCGGGACGCTCATCTCGTTCGTGATTTTTGTCCGGGGGGGACAACGGACGGAGATGCGTCCTAAGCTGCGCAGCACGCTCGGGGGTGGGTGGGACACAGAGACAGCCGTGCGCTGTTTGCACCGACAGTTTTACAGTTTTAGAGCAGGGTGTGTGAGAGGAGAGAGACAGAGACACATCTCAACCGCGCGCTGTCTGAACCGACAGGGTTTTTTTTAATGTGTGAGTGTGTGTGGGGAGGGGGTGTCAGCGAGACAGACACATCTGAGCCATGCGCTGTTTTTACTGACAGTTTTCGAGTGGCGGAGGTGCGTTCAGCGTGAGGGTTCAACTTGAGGGAAGAGGCTGCCTTTAGCTTTTTAGCTAGCACACCTGCATTATGAGCCACTAGTTTAGTGTTACGTCAGTGCCGACAGGTGGTTTGGGGTGGGTGTGGGGGGTTCGGTTTACGGGGCGCTCGGTTCTGTCGACGGGGTGGAGCGCTTGTGGTTGGGCCTGGATATTTGAGCCTCGGATGTTATTTAATAGTTTGTAGAAACCGAAGCAGGCTCGTCATCATGTGTGAAGGGGCCTATCGTAGATGTTTCTTCAAAAGACACATTTGCATTGAGACCACTGAACAAATGTGACTGAAAGTGTCCCAGCCCACCACTGAATGTTTCCTCATACTTTTAATTACACTTGTGTTTAGTGTTGACAGCTTGTGGTCAGTTTATTCAGAAACCACGTCCTACAGTAATTTAACACCAAAATATACAATATACTGTGAAACACTCGCAACCTTTAAAAATACTTTCAAGTGTTAAAACTGTATGAGGCACAGCTGGTGTGTAAGAAAATCAAAATGATCTGAATTTGATTCAGAAGGAACTAAAACGAGTAAAGTCCCCTGGTTTAGCTTTAAATATGTTTGTGTATTTATTTATATGTAGAACCTCATATATACTTAGTATTATCTTTTTCCATTTGGATCTATGTATTTTATCCTGTGTCCTTTGCTTGTTTGTTCTGCTGTACAGCACTTTGGTTGGCCTTGTTGATGTTTTAAGTGCTTCATAAATAAAGTGGTATAGTATAGTAATTTTAATTTTTTTCAGTATCTCTTCCCTGATGCTGCTGTGGAGAAGTCGTCAGACAATAAGTCTAAAACTGCACAGTCAAGCCCCTTGAAGACAACCAAGATGGAGACAATCCCTGATGATGTACGTTTCACCACTGGACACTCCACATTCATACCTGACGATAACACCTGTCCTAGTTTATCCAGTCTCAACTTGTATTCAGCTCAGAGTACAAGTATTCAAGTATTTGTACCTTTAAAAAGAGCCAGATTTGTGTCTTAGTGAGTTAACTTCTGCTTCAGTTCTTGTTTAGGTCTGTTGCTGCAGAAGTTGATGCAGTGGGATTATCTTTTTCCTGCTTCTCAAGTTTTGTAACATGTAATGTTTAAAAACATCTTCATGACACTTCAGTTGAGCTGAGTATTATTGAACATTGCAGAAACTGTTTTTAGACAAACTCTTTAAAAATAAATACCTCTATAGTCTGAAAGATTTCCTGCTGTTTAATTGTAAAGAATGAGAGACTGAGCAGACTCAACTAATTCACTGGACTGTTTTAGTACTTTCATGTTACTTTACACAGACAGCTGGTAAAATATTCGAATGCCTGTGGGTTAGCTGTAACTTTTGTCACATTGTGGAGACTGTTTAAGAGTTCAAAAAGTGTTAACAGTATAATAACAAAGTTCTGATTTCTATATCTCAATAAAAGATGGTACCTGCAGAATGTTATATTCAAATTTTAAAAGATCAATAGTTAGATGATTTATTACTGTGGCAATGGTATAGGTCAACTTCTTAATTAAGTTTGTGCATTCTCTAGCTTTTTCATTTAGCTGTTTGTTTTTGTCCAGCTTGATGACTCTGATTGGTCCCCTGATGCAGCTCAATCTAGTTTACACAAACTGCAGAGAAAAATAAATGTAAATCAACCTTACAACCTGCTGGCCACCAGCAGGTTACCTCATGTTTCTGTAAAACATTCTGAACTGCCTCATTGTTCAGAATTAACACCTCTGGACCTACCTAAGTTACATTACAGCATGTTTGTGAGCATGTTATATTCATGCATGCATCTGGATTCTATAGTATTTTTAATTTTTATACATGTTGGCAAATTCCAGGAATGATATTTTTATTATAGTGTGAATGTCTATGAAGCATTCACTCTACTGTGATCCATTTTCTTCCGTACATTTTTTGGCGCAATTCTCATCCTGCAGTTTTCAGCTATTTCAACAAACCGTAAATCAAAACATTCGGCTCTTTCGGGATAATCCTGCTACGACTTTTAGTACTGGTGCAACTTTAGCCTTTTGAAATATTTAGCCTTTTCTGCAACTTTTTCCTCATAGAAAATGAACTGAGCTCATTTTACATCCTTCAAATTTTTACATCTGTTTACAACCTTTTACTGCTACTTTAACATTTTGTTCTACTTCAGCTTCTTTCAGCTTCCTTCTAATATTTAAACCTTTTTCAGCTACTTAGCTGTTTTGTGCAGCTTTCTGCTTTATTCTGCTAACTGCAACATTTTTGTGCTTCTTCTAAATTCTTTCTACAAATTTCAGCTTGTTATGCTCCTTTCAGCTGATTTCAGAATCAAAATCATCTTTATTGTCATTGCACCGAAGCGCAATGAAATTGCATTTCAGTTCAGCCCATCCGAGTAAAACACAAACAAACAGACATGGGGGTGACGGAGGTGTCTGAGGCTGCGGCCCAGTGGGAGGTGCAGCCTTTTTCGTTTAGATAGGAAAAGAGAAACATGGGGGGAAGAGGGGGTATAAAAAATCATATCTCACACTTTGTCCTAGACGGGACAGAGTGTGAAAGTTGCAAAAAAAAAAAACAAGAGGGCAACGTGTTCGCCTTCATCGAGAGCAAGCAGGGACAGTTTAAAAAAAAAAATTTCTGCAAGTTTCAGCATTTTCTGCTATTTCAGCTACTATTTAGCTGTTTTGTGCTAAATTTAGTTTTTTTCAGCTAAAGCCACATTTTTTTAAACTCATTTCAACTCCTTCCACTTCCTTCTGGTAGTTTACGCGTTGTTCTGCCTTTTCACCTACTTTTCAGCAATTTTTTGCATAGCAATATTTTGTTGCTAATTTCAACTTTTTAAAAAAAACTAATTTCCTAATTTTATTCTCCTTTCTGTTTATTTAAACATAATTCAGCAAATTTCTCCTGCTAACTTTGGGTTGTTCTTCCATTTCAGCTACATTTCAGCATGTTTTTAGCCAATTTCAGCTGTTTTTCAGCAAGTTCTTCAGCAATAAGCATTCACACTGCATTTTAGCAGGAAATGCAATTTCTCTAGTTCTTTTTTAAGTTTTCTTGTTTTAGTGGTTCTTTTCCAGCCTATTCATATTTTGTTGATTATTACCTGTTTGGGCTTCTTTTACTTTAGAACCTGTTTCTTCAGCTGAAGTCGGCTCCCACTGACAGTCTGACCTACCGGTTGGCGTTATGTCTGTGCATGGTCAACTATAGCTACGGTGGCTTGCCAGCTGTTGCTCACCTCTGGCAGGAGTTTGTTCTGGAGCTGCGTTATCGCTGGGAAAACAACTATCTCATCTATGGGTTAGTAGCACATGATTTATCTGCATAGCTTCTTACAAACAGTTTAATACTCTAATTCTTTTATACCATAATGTTGTTATGACAGTTTTATATGGGTTTAGGATTAATTTGATTTACACATTTTGTCATATATTGATGGCTACTGGTATGTAGAAATAGAAATTACAAAGTAAATGCATCTAGAAACATCTACGAAGTGATTTTTAAATTTTTCCTGATTTCTAGGTTGGCTGGTGGACCTCCTGATCTTCGCTGTTGTCTTCTGCATCAGAAGTTCCAGGTACCACATATTCTAAATTAATAAATAAGCAGGTCATTCAAATAATGTGGGGAGTGGTGGTGCAGAGGTTACAGATGGTGAGTCTGTGATTGAGAGGTCGCTGTTCGAATACACCAACCATTACAACCAAAATTTGGGTGGGAAAGGTAGCTCAGTAGTCGGCGGTTGCATCAGGACGTGCATCCGGCGTAAAAACGATGACCAAGTCTTCACGTGAATTCGCTCGCTGTTCGCTCTTGAAGAAGGGAACAGCTAAAAGAAGGGAAACAAGTTTATTTAAAAAATGTGAAAAAGAAAGTCAAAATATTTAAGGTTGCTCCAGTCTGATTTTTCAAAGATCCTCTGGTCCTTCGTCATCAGGGTTGTGATGGCTATTTGATCTGTGACATCACTAAAATAAAGTATTTTGTGGGGGGAAAAAAGGGTTTGAGAATAAAACCTAAATAAATTAAATACAAATAAAATGTTTGTATTATTATAGATGCAATAATGTTTTGTAGATATGTATTTTATCCTCAAAGTGTCCACGGAGAAAACAGGGTCACAGTTTTTTCCGAACTTATAAACAGAGACATGAGTTTGACAGCAGGGGTGTGTGACAGGTGAAGCAGGTGGAGAGACGCAGCAGGACCGGTGGAGCTCCAGAGTCTGCCCAGGAGAGATCTCTCTTCCTCTTGTGAAATTGGTTTATTTCAGAGACTCTTTATTTTCCTATGGAAAGTCTAGTCAGTGACGATTCAGTTTGTTTGGTGTTGATTTTCATGAAGGAGTGTGTGAGTGGCAGATTGTTTTGAAGTTTCAGTCGGAACAGCTGATTTTTGTTTATACAGCGTGCTCCACCCTCCTGCACTTCTGAGCTGACGTGTCCGAGCGAGTTTTATTTCACTGTTGTTTACAAATTGATCTTTAACATACTCATATTGCTAACCTTTGAAAAATAATTTAAAGAACTCTTGTGCGTGTATAAGCTCTGTTTAGACAGGGGCTTGTTACAGGTGTATTTTACAGCAGCAGGTCCATTCAATGAGAAGACGCACGAGGTGCCGCTGCGATGAGCTCAGATTCTGACCGGTGCACGTTTTGTTTTTATGCAGATTAAACAGCATTCAGTTCAAAGCTCGTCTTCTGGTCATCATTAAACACAACGCAGAGTAAACTCTAAGAAAAATAAAAACGAACTGACAGGTTGATATTATTTGGACCGAGCTGAATTAATATCCGGCCAAGGTCAGCACGTTACACAGCTGTCTACACCAAACCACGCCCACATACACTCTCGCTGAGGCACGTTGTTGTACGTCCATCCTCATTGGATGAATCCTGTGGCTGTGGGCGGACCCTGGGCTGGACAAAATAAAGCCCCAATGAGCCACAAACAGAGGGGGCGTGGCCAGACATCTGTCAATCATTCTGAACCATGATGGAACAGCAACAGAACAGGGCTGTCAGAATTTAGCCTTTTGGAATGACCCTGGGATTTTTTCCAGGCGGTTTGACACCAGTTTTGTTGTAAATTTAACAAAATGTGATGCATTATTTCTAAAATGTATTTTTAAGTTGTTTATTTTTTGTAGTGAACTTAACCTGATGTCAAAACTAAGCCTAAGGTCAAAACCCTTGACCTTAAGAACCTTGTGGGACAGAAACTGTCATTTCATTGATTTGAATCCAGAAATACAGGTTCACCCATCCTGAGACTTTCTTTCTTGAAAATCAAGTGAAAGAACACTCTCTTTTTATTATCATTACTATTTTACAAATGTTGATAATCAAAGTGTCTTAGTTCAAACCATTTTAGATGTTGCAGTGAACTAATCAATTTTATTAACTGTAAAACAGTAACAATGATTTTTTAGTTGCTTATGCAAAGTTAGAGTTCATGTTAAGTCTGTTACAGAGTAATCATGTATTTTCTGATTTCTGTCTTTGAATGAGCAAGTGTAAGTTTTGTCCAAGGTCGGAGTCGAAGCAGACATGTGTCTTGTTTTAAAATCCTCTCAGACGTAAACAGAGGAGTTGGCACCTGTTCTCCAAACTCGCCAAAATATTTCTCTCGCCTGTCTGAGAACAGTTTAATCTGTTCCATAACAATTCTTGCTGTTTTCTGACTTCTAGTAACCTCTTACATCACAAAACACACCCCTGTCTGGTTGATATGGACCAATCAGGGACGCTCAAATATACCGGAAATAGAGCTCTTTAAAATGCCGGTACTTCCTAGTTCTCTCAGTTCGGTGAGGCGCTGAGAAGTTCTGAGATGTTTGCAGTTCTGTGAAGTCGTTTGGGAGAACAGAAGTCCAGCCATGAAAAGGCTCTTCCTTTGGATTATAATATCTTCCACCTCTGAGTGGAACTTCTGAAGGACTCCACTCATGTGAAGTCCACCCGGTGAGGTGAACTGTTGTTGACGAAGCCCCGTCACCACTTCGGACGAGTCACAGCCATCCTATGGAGACGCTGGACAGGTAGCGTAACTGGACTTCGTTTCTTCTGATTCATCTTCAGAGAGGTAAAGGAGTCTAGTCTCCTACTTAGCGTACCGAGGAAAAGCTGGGTCGGATGGAGGGTGTCGTCCTGTCAACACTTTTCACTCATACACACCACATTCTCCCTCATCCATACTTTACTCCCTTTAAACTTCATTTCCATCTTTAAATTCTTCTCTCAAGTAGAAATCCTTCCAGATAATTTAGAAATGTCTGTGTAAAGTGCTCATCCACCGCCGTGTGGATTGAGGTCTGCTGTTCTGCTGAAGAGTGAAAACAATCGCCGCATTGTTTCTCACTACCTGTAAAGCTGTTTAATTATGTTGTTATTCTCATATTTGCCAAATTAATGTAAATGTTTGATGTTAAACTTTGATTCTGTAAAATAAATGACCACATTCATTTTGATGGGTCAAAGATAAATAACGTCTCACGTCACATTTCATTAAATTCAATGCACGTTTTATTCAGTCCAGGAAAATGAAGAATCCGTTTTTAATTGTTACAAAATTGAGCCGTGAACGGTTAGCAAAAATTTCTCTGCTTCTCAAAGCGGAATTGGACCGTCAGGTTGCACAAAATGTCATGCTATCCAGAGGATATGAATCTGAAAAGGAGAGGTGTGACGGATTGATGAATGCGTCTGCATTGGAGAAAGAACAATTTCAGATTGATAGGGACCTCTCAAAGACTGAGCTGTCATTACAGGCTCAATCATATGAGGGGAGGATTAGGGATAGAGACCGTGCGTACCAAGCCGCGTGTTCAGACAACGAAGTGCTACAACAACAGTTGCAGCAAGCATTAAAGGAGCTGGAGGGTTGCAAAGCGGAAAAGGCGATGATTCTCCAACAATGTCTGAGTTTACAAAGTGAATGTCAGACATCACAGGAGCGCCTGAAAGCTTGTGAGGAGAATCTAGCCACAGCAACAAACAAGATTTCTGACGTGGGGCGGGCTGGTCTGGGACTCAGGGACGAACAAGGTCAGGGTCCGGGTCAGCCACAACCACCCCAGACAGATGCTGTTACACCTCCTCCCCTTAGCCCCGTTCCAACACCCACACCTCGGGTGATAAGGACGGGTCTGCACCGACTTGCACCTCCTACTCTTAGCCCCGTTGTAACACCCCCATCTCGGGTGATAGGGATGGATCTGCACCGACTTGAACCTCCTACTTTTAACACCATTCCGTCATCCCCACCCCCATCTCGGGTGGTAGGGGCAGACCTTCACCAATTTGCACCACCAACCACACATGAGAGACCGTTGATACTGTCTCCTTCAATGGATGATTTGCAAAAAATCTCAAAATATGTACAACGCTTTGTACCTGGACCGATGGGTTCATCTGGAACAAAAGCGTATCTCAGAGATCTTGAGTTCAGATTGAGAGGTTATCCTAATGCTACAGTTGAGGATAAAATCAGTCTGATACGGCTCTCTTCGGACAGAGAGGTGTTCACCTTCATCGAGCGTCTACCTGATGCAACGAGAAGGGATTACAACCTTCTGTGTGAAGCTTTGATCAGAGAGTACGACTCCTGCACGGGACCTGCTGGTTTCCCAGCTGCAGACAAGTTCACGCAGGGTAAAACTGAACATCCAAGAGTTTATTACAAAAGAATCTTCCAAGCTTATTTTGGTAACATAAATGAAACCGGAATGGAGGAAGAGGAAGGTTTTAAGTTTGTTTTCAGCAAAAATCTCCACACTGATTTTAGGCGATCAGTACAAATGATGGCAAATTTCAGAGAAAAATCCATCAGTGAGATTAGACAGTGTGCTGTGAATGTGTTTGAGGCATGCCCTCATGCTAAGACGCCCATTGAAGTGTTTCCTAGTGTAAAGGTTAAACCCCTCCCTCTTGAACTGGAAGGACGACGTGCCTCGCCGCCTCCTCCTAAGAAAGTTGAGAGAAAACAGTCTGTTCAAACTAACTAACCGTGTCCTGAAGGTGCGCGCTGGGACAAAAAAGCTCCTCTTTCAGAGGATGAACGTGATTATCGTAAAAGGGGTGAGCGTAGGACGCAAAGATATGGGAACCCATATCATCAGGGGCAGTACGTAAAGGAACCCCCGAAAGACGTACCTGACCGTACCCCACCTCGGCCGAAACGAACCGAGGCGAAAAAATCACAAAAGTTCCAGAAACAAGGCCCTACACCTCTGAGCTCGGAAGAGACAGAGAAAATACGCAGGTTGTTAGAAACTTTGAAACACAGTGACACGGGAACCCAACCAGGAGCACTTTGCAGTAATGTAATCCCTATTACATCTGAGGGCGCGAATGACAACATTACAGATGTCGGTGGAACACACCAAGACATTGCTGTTGTTGCCTCAAACAACCCCTCATCAGAAGAAGGGGGGGTAAACACACACACGAACGATGACGAGTCATCGCAAGCTGAACACTCAGAAACAGCTACTGCTGTGCTGACGGTTCAGACAAACCAAGATTACACAGATAAGGCTGAACGCGTGAAGAAGCGTCAGAAAAAACCCAAGAGG